GTCTGTCTAAAGATAGGGCAGTCCCAGGAAGACCTCCAAAAAGGTAGATAGGAAACGCGTTCCCCATAGCCTTGGCAGGAGCCAAAATACTCTGTGATCCCCAAACCACCTGCGGACTGGAAGAGGCAACAGACCCTTCTTCCTGAACCTGGCCATGTGACTGAGACCTTCTCCCTCTGTCCTGACAGGGATCCAAGCCCCACCCAGTGACTTAGGTCAATCCCCATGGCCTCTCATCATCCCCTTGCCTGCTGGCACTTACCATTCCAGTGGGCACTCAGTCCCATTGACCAGTACAGCCCGGCTGGTACCTATAGACAGGCCCTTGCCCTTCAGGGTGAGACGGGTGCCCCCTGCCCGTGGGCCAAAGAGGGGTTGTACTTCCTTCAGCACTGGCTCCTAAGAGGATATAGAGGTGGCTTAGCTTGGTGTCGGAGACCCTCCACTCCAAGCCCTTCCCTGCCCAGCTGGCCAAGAACACAGACAAGGCGAGTTGGCCTCACCATGAAAGAGAAGCCTTGTATCATGGAGGTGCCATCTACCCGGAAGTGCTTGCCCGGTGGCATGTCAGTCACGTTGAGGCTGATGTTAGCAGGCCCGGCTGCCTGTGTGCCCACGGGCTCCAGCTCACATTCAAGCTCCTCTACAAAGCCTTTCCAGGAAAGTGGGCTGGAGTACCAGGGAAATCAAGGTCAGCCAGAGTCACACAGGCCTGGTTGCACGCCCACAACAAACCACAAGTCTGCTCTGATACTGAGGATGGTCTCTCTCCATCCATGCCTTCTTCCAGGGCAGGCAGAGTCTAGCACGGCAGGGATTAACTTTTCTCAGATCATGACTCAAGAGATAGATAGGGCATATGCAGGCTCAGGAAGGGACAGAGTTGTCTCCCTAGACACAAAAGCAGCCAGAGCCATTGCGGGTTGCCTCATACCTCCTGGCCCCCAATAAGCACAGGGTAGGGTCTCATAGGGAAGGGACTGTTGGGTTGCCCCCATCACGGATAGACAAGGCAGGAGGGACCAGTTGTACCTGCGGTTTAAACTGTCCTTGGGCAGCAGTCGGCAGGGACTTTGGCCCACGGTGATCTGATGGGTGCCTTCAGGCACCAGACCCGCAGGGTGTAGGTAGAAGTTAGAGCCGCACAGGGTCAGCTTAGTGCTGCCCCTTAGGGGTCCATTGTGGGGATGGAACTGGAGGGGGAGCAGAGAGCCTGAGTCCCTCTGTAGCCTCTCAGCCCTGTCTGCTTCCCCCAAACCATTCTGCCGCACCCCTTGCCTGGCCCACACCCCAGTCATTCTAGGTCACTTGGTGGCCCTCACTCAAGCATTTTTCTGCCTCCACATCTTTGCATGTGCCATTACCTCTGCCAAGAATGCCCTCCTTACAGCTATTGAGGACACCCCAGGCCTGAGGACAATCATGATCATGGTCAAGACCTACTGACCTCCCACCCCAGGCACAGCTCGTCCCACCCTTACCTGTGCCCTGCCAGGCAAGCCATACCTCAGTAAGCTCGGGTGGGCAATGGTCCTGTTGCCAAGAGCCAGGACACTCCTTCTGCCGGCCACACATGCCCCCACACCAGCCACAGCCCATGAAACGCTGTGCCCGCAGACATCGCCCACAGGTGAGGAAGTGGTGGCAGCCAGGGCCCTGGATAGGTACCTGGAAGACCTTTGAGTGGCAGAAAGGTGGCTCAGGAGTGGCCGAAGAGGGTTGGGCAGCGTAGGCCCCAGAGATCCATAGATCAGTAGATCAGGGTGGTGAGACCTGCATGTCAATGCCTCCCTCAATTGGTTGGGAAGACTGTGCTCCCACAGCCCTGGCCCCAGGCCCTGCCCTTGTCCACCTTACCTGGTCCCCAGAGGCAAAGAACAGGTGGTCCCCAAGGCGACTGACATCCCGTTGCATGGGCTGCCCATTGCTGCTCAGTGAGAAGTTGGATACATACAGCAAGTAGTTGAGAGACCTGGCCAGCTCCACCTGGGACAGTCAGCTGTTAGCAAAATGAGAACGGGGATGGGGACCCAGGGACAAGAGGCTGGGGAGATGAGGGACCTACCTGTAAGATGCGCCCATCAGTCGTGCCCATGTGGGCCACCGTAACATTGTTGAGGTGCGTCACATACAGCGCAGTGACCTGCACTTGTCCTAACAGCCCATTGAACAGGTCCACACGTGAGAGGCTTCTGCTGACCAGCAGAGGGAAGTGGCGGCAGCTGTTGTTGGGGCTGGGGGCCTCGAGGCCAGGCTGGGGAAGTCAGGGAAGGAGTCAGGGCTCATCCCCACACACTGACCCCTTAAGGCCTCTGTCAGTGACCATAGCAGCCCAAACTCCCACCCCTCAACTGGCCTGCCTGGAGAAGGCCCCAGGCCTGCCAGTGACTGCCCCCCCCGCCACCTCACGGGGCTCTCAGAGGTGACGAGGCCAGGGAAGAAGGTCCAGGCCGGAAGGCCAGACTCCCTCTATGCCTTGTCCTACCGATCCTGCCATGTCCATCCTGATAATGAGTTACTGAGTCTTACAGACTCAACCCCATTCTGTCCTCACAACCAATCTGCAAAGAATGTGCTCTCTTCACCTCCATTTTACAGATAAGGAAACAGGCTCAGCGAGGTCCCCACACTTGTCAAAAAGGCCTTAAAGCCCCTCAGGAGAGGAGCCAGATTGGAAGTCTGAGCTTTTGACCAGAGTCCTCTTCTGCCCCCTGCCGGTCCTGCCCTGCACTTCCGCAAACCCTGTCCCCTCTTAAGGCTTCTGTTTCCCCACCCGCACGAGGGGGCTGAACTCGAGTTAATTGGCCAGCATGGGGTTGGTAACACGGTCTTTTCCTGAGACTGCAAAGGTCCTTATGCACCTCCAGCTGCTACTTGTACCTCCTTCAGCGCACAAAAGGTATATACCAAGGCCCGAAGGCCTAGGTGCCAAGCAAGGCCCCAGGAATGGGGAAATACTAACCTCTCCTCTGCTCTTAACATGGGGGGGGGGTGGTGGTGGCGTGTTTTGGGAGCTGCACTCAGTGCTCCAAGGCAGGGCTGTGGAAGCTTCTGGGAAATCAGGAAGCCAGGGTGTGAATCCAAGGTATCGGAGCTGGGAGCAAAGTGCAGGCAGAGCTCAGCAGCCCTCACAGTTGGGAGCCTCCCTTGCTAACTCCAAGGGCCCGAGCCGGAGCCTCTGAGGCTCGCATCAACCAAGTATGCCTAGCCAGTCATCAGACCTCAGTGCTGATCACGAGTCCCGAGGGTGAGAGCAGGGACACTCTGGGTCTGTAGCCTGAGTGGGTAGGGATTGGGGCTCTGTCCTCACTTGAGGAAGGAAAGGGGCTTGGTCCTAGCCGGATGCCAGTTAGGTGTTTTCAGCATGACTCAGGGACAGGTGGGGCTGAGGGGTAGAAAAGAAGCCCTACTCCAGTCGGGGCCACACCCCTCCTGCTTGCCCCTGGGTTCCAGGGCCTTAGCTCTGGGTTCCCATGCTTGTCTAGGGGCCTGTGGCTCCTGGAAACACTTAAGTGTCCAATGCCCCACAGAGGAAGGTGACTGCCCCAAGGCTCACACCCTATCTGAACCCACGGAAGGTAGGTAGCAGCTCTGAGCCCCTCTAGCTTCCCGAGACCAGCCACAACAAACCTGTAGTGGGTGCTGCCCTGGCGGCTGTGTGCCCAGACCCTAGGCAAACACCATACTAGCTGGTTCCCACACCTCCCAGGGGCTGGGCCAGCCTTTGGGCAGGGCTTCAGATTAGTCCTCCTCGAGCCTGGCACTGCCAAGTCGTGCCAGGTATCTTTGGACCACTGACCACTAGCCAAGTTGGGGAGAAGTTCTGACTCCCCGGAGGGAAGGAGAAGAGGGCAGGCAGGGCTTCCAGGCTCAGACAAGGGAGCCCCAGCCCTAGGGCCTCCTCGGTCTAAGTGGGCTCAGCTGAGGGAGGCAGGGTGCAGATCCCCCCCACTCCTCCTTGTATGTAATTCTCTCCCCACCTCTGGCCCACCCATCGAAGCTGGAAAGAAGTCAGTGGCAAATGTCACAGCAGGGCCAGGGCCACAGGGCAGCCAAAGACTCAGAGCAGTAACTGTGGGTCAGCTCATTGAAAGACCTCTTGTCCATGTCATTCACCCCATTTCTTTGGCTTAATCTCTTGTAATCTAGGGTAAAACTGTTTCGGTGGCTTCAAGGAATCAGTTTTTGTTTTGACCTTAGCATTTTAAAGACTGTCTTATTTGTATCTGCTCTAGCTCCCTGAAACCATGGCTGGAGAGAGCCTGGGGAGGGTCTGCTGGAAGGACCCTCCAGTTTGGCATGGACTGGGAGACCCCCTGCTTGGGGTGAGTGAGAAGGGGGACTGGAAAAAAAGTCTGGGACTCCCAAATGATGACCCAGTTCCAGCCAGTCCCTCCTAAGCCTTTACTCATCCACCAGATGTTTACAGTTGCTTGCACAAGACTGGGGTGAGTCTTCTAGAATCTACTAGAGAAAAGCCGCCTTCTCATCATGTCCTGAGGCCTCCGAAAATCACCCCACAGAGGACAATCAGAAGTGAGTGTGTCAGTGAAGCCCAAGCTACGCAGGCTCCCCGAAAAGCCCTCAAATTTTCTAGGCACAGAAAGCTCCCCGGAACACGGGTGGGGGGCATTCTTTGACAACTCTTGCCCATCCTCTTTGGAAAGCAGAGCAAAACAAATGATCCCATAGGGAAAGCGAAACTGTGTTGGTGAGCAGCCATGAGTCTGTGAATCTGTGAGCATCTGCCTGTGTGTGGGGGGGAGGGGTGTTTTTCTGAGTGTGTCCCTGAGGGCATGTGTAGTGGGCAGACAGGAGGGGACATCCATCATTCTACCCAGAGTTTGGCAGTGTGTCTAGCGGAAAGACAGCTATGATGCGATCCAGTTCTCACGTAACCAGGGAAACTGCCTAAAAAATCAGAGGCCATGAATAGGTGAGAGGATGAGAGAGCAAAATGGGTAGCGACAGGAGCTAGCCTGGCTGAGAGATGAGCCTCCAGTGTGGCCTGTGTCTGGCTCATTCCCTCACACACCCCCAGCACTAAGGAATTGTGCGGAAGAGGAAACTTCTCCCCTCTTGCCCTCCCTGTTCCCAGCCCCCCTCAGTGGTGGAAGAGAAGCAGCCTAGATTCAGCCACTTGCACACTGCACACAGGGGAGCGCCCCTTTTTTTCTGCTCACCGGGTTGGGGCACAAACTGGGCGACTGGAAGAAGTCGAGGCCTCGCCGGAGACCCGGGTGGACCGGAGGCTCACAACAGCTTTCCACACCCCGCTCAATGAGAGTGTCCAGCAGGTCAATGGGGAAGGCACAGACGACAGAGCTGGGACTCACACCAGGGTTGCTGTCTCTGCTAGTCGCAAAGACCCCAAATAGCACTTCCTGGCCTTCGGTGATGCTCAGTTCAGCGGCAAGTCGGCCGCCCACCATAGCCGTGTGGGCCGCCCGCAGCACCGGGTAAGGATGCCCGCCCTCAGAGGTCCCGCGTCGCCGGCGTTTAGGCGCAAAACGGCAGTCGAGGACCAGCTCGCGGTAGCTGCCCAGGCTGGTCTCGCCCGTGCTGAGCCGGGCCAGGCGCGTGTGTAAGGCTCCAGGAGCAGCTGCCACGCTGGCTGGCTGCACGGTCAGGAAATAGACAAAGGCTCCTGCGTGGAAGCTGTACACGTATTCGATGCGGTAGGAAGCGAGGTGCGCAGGTAGCACTGACAGAGCTGCAAAACCTGGAGCGAATCCTGAGGCATCGGCTTTGAGGCGCCGGATAGACACCGAGTGTGGGCTGAAGCTGGCGGCCACCTCCGCGTCCAGTGAGGATGCCACGTAGAAGTAGGAGGCATGGCCCCGCTCGACCACGGTCACGAGGGTGCCCAGAGGGCTGGCCACACAGTCGGGGCAATCCTCAGGCCGATTGTGGCGGGCAGAGAAGAGGCAGGCTGGCGGAGCCAGGTGCAGGGTGGTTCCGTCAAGCTCCAGTTCATGCAGGAAGCAGCGGCCATGCAGGCTGGAGCCGCAGCTGACCAGTGCGGGCAGTGCCGGCTCCAGCACCAGCACCTTTGCATCTGTGTCCCCTGCTGCACTGTGGGGGTCCGGGCCACAGGCCGCGCACGTCTGACAGTCAGGGTCCCCAGCAGGGCCGGTAGCCAGGCTCTCGACAGGCTGTAGGCCAGGCCCAAGCACATGCAGGCGATTGCGCGTGGCCACGAACACAGCACTTCCTTCCTCTCCGCCTTCGTAGGTCAAAAGGGCCTGTACCGGCCCGCCGGCGGAGAAGCTGGGCACCACGTACTTCACGTCAAAGTTGCGGGAGGCAGAGTAGGGGGTGCGCGGGCACTGCCAGGACCCGCCCACCACGGGCAACCCGGACACCGCGGGCACCGCGGGTAGCAGCAGCAACAGCGATAGCAGCAACAGAGACGGCTGCGAAGGCGGCAGGAAGAGCTCCATCGAGGCCCAAATGGGGCCCGGTGGAGATTTCCGCAGGCCAGGAGCTGGCCAGGGGCAGACTCAGAGCAGAGACCAGCATCCAGCACCGGTCTGGAGAGCCCTCGGGCAGCGGACCCCAGCCCAGGGTTCCTGTGATGCCCACCCTCCTCCCCTGCCCTCGGATCGGAGCACCTGGCGCGGGCGGATACACACACACACACACACACACACACAGGGACTAGGGAGGCCGCCTCACCTGCCGTCCCAGCTGCCGCTCCTAGCCTGCGCTTAGAGCAAAGTAGGCGGGAGGGTGGCAGGCAAGGCGGGCGGGGCCAGGGGTTGGGGGCAGGGATGTGGGCGTGGCCTGTGGAAGGCCTGGCTGGCCCGGCCCAGCCGCTCCGCCCACTTGTGTCCCGGCCCTCGGAAGCCTGGATTCTACTCCTGGGAGCTCTTCTCTCAGTGGCCTGGGGTGGATGTGGGTGGAGTGGCCTGGAGAAAGGTAAGCAGGCCTTAGCCGTACCATCTAGGCTCCCACAACGCACTGGGCCGGGGCGAGGAAGGGGCCAGCGACGCCCTAGTACCAGTGAGGGGGTCGAGGACCCCCTGGCTCATTTCTTCTTTAGGAGCCAGTTTACAGCAACACCCTCAGTCGCTGGTTCCCTGGTAGGGCCTGGGGGACCCACCTGGTGGGGAACGGAGGCCAGTAATGTGTGTGGGACCAGCGGGGAGACATGAGGGGACCCCAGGAGTGGCGCCACCCTCTGTGGGCTTGCCCTGGACCGTCTGCGACAGCATAGTGTCAGAGGGAGGTAGACATTGCACCTTGTCTGCCCAGGGCCGTAGGAGTTACGAGATGGGGCCCGCATGTCTGGACCACAGAGGAGAGGCAGCTTCTGTGGAGGCCCACCCCTAGCTCTGGTCCCTCCATGCTGCCTCAGTATGTGGAAGCTGTAGGACAGGAACAATAAAACACAATGCTGGACTTCCTTTCTGAGTCTGACCAGGCAGTCCCCACCCCCGCCCCACCCCCAATATAGAAGAAGCATGGGCACCTCTAACCAGCCCTGTAAGCCTTGCTGGGCCCAAAGTCTCTCCATCTCTGAAATGAAGATGTAGTTCTGGTTAGGTGGTCACTCTCAGGTTGGGATGTGTATGGGGCGAAGGCAGGGGTGGGTGTGGGGGGTGGCACCTGGACCTCAGCAGCTTCCTCTTGGTAACTGGTGTCGATGAAAAAGGGACCACATACTCAGTGTGACAAGCTCAGGGGAGGCTAGCATGGCTAGCCCTACAAACTCAGAGACTGAAAGCAACCACACAGAATGGTCTAAACATAAAAATTCCTAACTAAAAGCGGGTCATGGAGAGTCGTCACACCCTAGGCCTGTAGCTTCCTTGACAAAGGTTAATTTTTACCTTAAGCGAGCCGTCTGTTGTCTTTTTGCATCTAAGATAACATACCTTTGAAATGTCTGAGTAATTTTCTTTCCCAGACCCCCTCAAAGGCACGACTGCCAGCACCGGTGCACCAGACGACCGCAGCATAAGAACACAGAACCCCTTATTGTTATATCTTGTTCCCCACATATCGTTTCTATGTGCTATGAATGTTAACTATCTTGTACCCAATGATGTAAAAGAAGGATATCTCTGTTTTGCTTTTTATCCAGTCCTAGAAATTTCCCCACTTTGCTTCTGCCCTTTAATCTGCCTCCAGTGATTTCATGTGATCCTCCTGACGTCTCCTCCTTTGATTCTAATGTATAAAATAAGCTGAAAAACTGCCATTCGCCAGAGCATTTTCTCAATCTGTTGAGATTTTGTTTCCTGGCAATTGTCAGTTGGGCTCAAATAAACTCATAAAAATTCTCTACAAGTTTGGATATTTCTTACTTCAATGCTGGTCCCCCCTTAACACTGGAGAGGGGCCCTATGGGACATCCTCAACTTGACAGCCCCTCGGCCAAGTAGGTCTGGACCCTGGAGGGAGGGGAAGCTTCACAGGGTGACCTTGGGCTGAGGTGAGAGGGACCTGTGAACCATGGGCTCTGGAGGGTAAGTGGGGGTGGGGTAAAGAGGAGTCCTCAGTCCAACAGGATTCAGCCTGGCCCTAAGAGCTGTATCTCCTCAACTTCTCCACCCAACCTGTATTCCTTTTTCCTCCTTCCAGGAGCACCTCTTTCCATTCCTCCTCTTGCAGCTTAGGTGGCACCTCCTACAGGAAGTCTTCCTCATCCAGACGGTGCCAGGTCTATTTTGTGGGTCTCGTAGACCCTATACGACACCCACTCTAGCACAATTCACTTTGGATACCTGCTCCCCACTTCCCCCATTCCTAGTGCTGGACTCCCCTCCCCCTCCAGGCTGAGCACCTGGTGACAGAGGTAAGGGCACAGGACAGCCACACCCAGAGCTAAGAGGATAAGGCGCTTGAGGTAACGTAAAAGGCACTCCCTTCTCTAACCAGAATTGGCCAGGAAATGAATAAACACAAAAGGAAAATCTTGGCACGGTTTCTGTGTTCCACGGTCAACATGTCTAAAGATGGTCATGCGGGGCAAAACCCAAATGAAACATTCTCCACCTGGCGCAGAGACGTGGTTCTTGTAACTTGTATCCCACCTCGGAACAGAGACTTCAGGGGTCCTCCTTGATCACCCAGTTCCCCCTCTCAATGTGGGAGAAGCATGGGCACCTTTAGGGAGGGGGTGGGGGTGCAGCAGTCAACAGTTGGTTCTCTGCTGCCGCCATGTGGCCAAGCTGTTGGCTGCCCACAGGCCAGTGTCCCCAGGCTGACAGCCCTGGTCTTGACAGCAGGTGTCCATAGGAGTGCCTCTTCCTCCACCCCCATCGCTGGCTCTGCAGGAGGGGGGCGGGGCAGGCAAGCCCTGTAGGGGAGGTCAGTTAATGGGGCCTTGCCGTGCCCAATACAAGTGCTCCCCCAAGGTGTATTCACAAAGCCTGGCCCATATTTGGATTATGACCTGCCCAACTGCCCTGGTGTCCATCACCTTGAAGGAGCGCTAGCCACTCTGCTTTCGTGGGGCTCTCACTCCCCTCTGAACGCTACTTCAGAGAACTAGCGCCAGCCTCCTTCTCCAGCCCAAGACATCAGCTTAGTGACAGCAAGGGGAAATCTCTCACCATAATAGAACCCCATCATTCTGCAGCTTTAAAACATTCGATGGCTCTCCACCGCCAGACCTTTACCTGCAGCTGGAGAACCCTAGGTTTTGAAGACTCCTTCAGCTTCACTGTAAACCAATCATACCAGGTCCTTCCGTTTGCATAGGCTGGTTCCTCCACTAGGAACATCTTTCCTGTTCGCCTGTTATCCCTTCCTATATCCTCAGATAAACCCGCCACTCCCACGTGCCTACTCCTAGATAAATACCCATCTAATTGTGACCATTGTTTCTCACCCTCGCTCAGAATAGGAGCTGGACTGCAGAAAAGCTGAGAGCCCCACAGGAATCAAGACAGACAACAAGGGCGCCTCGGGGCTGACTGCTGACCGGAACACCAATAACAGGGACAGCTGGCATGGCATCACCCTGGCCCCAGAGGCAATTGTTTGGTGCCCTGACCAGAAGCAAGGGGAACAGGCAGAAAAAGAGACCCAGGGCATGTGTGCAGAGTGAACACCACCCAAGCCTATAGCTACTCCCTAGGGGCTTTAGAGTCTAGACAGGTGGCCTGCTGCCATGCCCATTCTAATGTGATCCGGGCTGAGGCTGGGGCAAGGGTAGAGGCTACCATTTCTGGCACAGTAAGTAGAATCATTCCAGTGCACCCTTGGTTCATGCCACCCATACGGACATATCCTCCAACATGGGTTGGTTTTGGCGGCAGAGTATCTTGGCCTAGCTCTGAGACCGCATGAGTGTGATTCACTCTACAGTCTGGAGACCATATTCAGTAGACATTTTTCTCCCATAAACACTTCCTAGGTCTTTTACACCCCTGGTTGATGAGATGGTTAAGTTGGCAGAAGTGGGAGAGCCCCCCAGCAGTAAGGTAGAGTTCTTCTGCATTGAACCTTGGGCTCTACCCAAAGTGGGTCTCATGATAGAAAGAATGGGGCTGGGCCTTCACTGCTGAGACTCATGGTGACCTACGTAGGCTGGGCCATGCCAAGGAACAGGGTGACTGAAGAGGGCCCAGTGTACCTAGTGGCACCAGCCCTTCTCAGGGCAGAATCCACTCCTGCCCAGCTGTCAGCTGAGTCTTCTCTTCTCTCAGGCCCTCTAGCTCGCTCCTGGGGGCCATTCTGAGGAATGTGCTGGCCAGAGGTAGGGGAGCTCAGGTGGACAGCCCTTCATGAGAAGGCCCAAGCTGCGACAAATTCCCCGGAGTCCTACAGCTACAATAAGGTTAGACTCTGAATTTGTGCCGAACACTGCGCCACCTCACTAAAGGCTCCCACCTGCTCCAGAGCTCAGACTCTCCCCACCTGACAGTCCCCATCTTACTCAGCTCCACCCCCGCTAAATTATAGCAATCCATTAAGCAGAGCCACAGCCAGGGCTCTCAGAGTGATTGGGTGGTTCTTTGGGGGACATGGCTAGAGACCCCACTGGGAAGTGAAAGGGAAGGCACCAGAGGCTCAGATTGAGTATGGGGGTGGGGCTGTGGGAGGCAAGGCCAGTGGGTGCTAGAGAACCCTTTACAGGCGGCAGGACTTCAGCTGAATGAAAACAGCCCAGTCCAGGGTCTGACTCTGAGCTCACGTGGCCTGATGCAGTGTGAGAAAAAGCGGTGCTCATGCGCATGTGCCTCCGTGCATGGAGAAGCATATCAGGCACTAGAGAGGAGGATCCAGTGTCTGTATGTGAATGAGTGGGTGAACAAAGGAACAGTAATGAGGCCTGACAAGTGTCTACCCCAAAGCCCTTTAATCCACGCACTGACCCACAGTCCCTGCCTGCTGCCTGGGCAAGAGAGGCCAGCCCTGCCTGGAGGCTCCCACGCTCCCAGGGCCCAGCGGGCTTGGGAGAGCCAAGCCCACACACTCCCATCAGTAGGTGAGGGGCGTCAGGATGAAGAGGCGGTCTTCTTCCTTGCGGATCCAGCGCATCAGCTTATGGATGGCACTAACAGCTGATGCCTTGGTCCCCAAGGGGCTGTAGCACATGTAGAGCTCAAAGGCACCTGTCACCTGGAAGAGGGGGAACAGGGTGGTCATCCAGGTTAGACACCCCTCGTGGGCCTTGATTGGGACCCCAGTGAAGCCCACCCTCTCCCAGGGTCGCCTTACCCAGGCCAGAAGG